GATGCTTTTTTTGAACATTTTAGCAATTTAAAAATATAAAAAAATTTATACGGCACCCCTGCTCTAGACAGACGGCACCCCGGTTGGGAAACACTGCTCTAAACAGCTCTCCCATTGCCATGGAGAAAACCTGTAAGTGCGAAGGAATTTTATAATTGTGATTTCAAGGTTTGGGGAAAAAAATTATAATAAATTTTTATGTTTATATAAATGCATTTTTAATGTAAATGAGGAACATTTTTGTGGCGAAGTTTTCTTTAAAGATCAGCTAGAAATTTATTTTTGTGCAGTTTCTATTAAACTGGTTATTCAAACAAGTATTGTCCAGCATTCACAAATGTTAGGAAATGACATGGAAAATAAAAAATCTTGATTGAGGAGCAAAAAGTGAATGTTGCATTATATCCAACTATATCTCTTTATATTAAAATTTATTAAATGTGAAATATAATAAAATCATCAATACATATAAAATGCAAAAATATTTTTATCAAGTTCAATTTTTGACATTTCAGTGCAAAAAAAAAAAAAAGTTAAAACAAAAAATGAACATATGCTTCAATGCCATGTGAAGCCCCCTCCTGCCTCCTGGCCAAATCAAAATTTATCACTGGCCAAATTTTTGTTTGGGCATCTCTGGTATATTAAGATGTAATGAAACTAAATTCTTGTCGCAGGTATGAAGAGTTGCGTTATTGGTATGACTGCTTGTGTTATGAAGAAGACCTCAGGCAGTACAACCAATATATTGTTGAGTACAGGAAGTGGGAAGAGGAGAATCTGCACCCAGAAGACGTATGTTACACCGATGTATGTTAAATTTACAAAGCAAATTCATTATTGTTCTCCCTCTAGTTCTTTGCCTAAAATAACAGAAGACCGTAATAAGAACACATGAACAGAAGTGCAAAGGCAACGTTTTGAATCAAGTGTCATCAATTCAACTCTTCTGTTACTCGACAGCTTCCACCAATGCGGCCACCAATGCGGCCACCGCCTCAGCGAACGTTTGTGAATGAGGATCGCTATGTAAAGGCCAAGCACACAACTGTGTACCCATCAGCAGAGCAGCTGGATGCAGTGCAGAAGATGGTGTCTAATGTGGAGTGTGCCCTGAAGTCTGTCTCTGATTGGTTAAATGAAAAAGAGAGTAGTGCCGCAGATGCTGGAAGGTATGGTTGTTGGTTCTGGAAGTCACCTGCCCTAATGTATTTAGATTTTTAAAACCGAGCAAGTCAGTTCATTTCATTTTACTTTTAAGCAATTGCTGGCTAATTTATGTTACAGTTCTGGTGGAAGTATAAGCTCATGCTCAGAGTCTGTGCTGTTTTCTCTGCAGTGGTTCTCCTCAAAGTAAACTGCGTGGTGTTTTGAGAGTGGGCCTGGTGGCTAAAGGACTCCTGCTGAAAGGTGACATGGAGTTAGAGTTGGTGCTGCTGTCCAGGGATATGCCTACCAGTTCACTGCTCAGGCTGATCTCTGGAAAACTCTCAGAATTCATAAAGGTTTTTCTTACCCTTTTTTATTTTTAATTTGTATTATTATAGATCATTTGAATACTTGCTTTTGTCGTTTGTGCTTCATTCATGAAACATGAGCATAATGTATGCAAATGCCAACAGCTCTGTTTGTGTTTTAGTAAACGCATGAAGAGGAAAAATCGGCATCTTTATGTAAAATGTATTTTATTTTGTATGGATTTTAATTTGAAAGCATTATCAAATTGGCTTTTTCCAATCAACAAATACACTAACGCTCAAAAGTTGGGGTCAACAACAACAATAAAAAAAAAATTTAATTAGTCCTTTTTAGTAAGGATGCATTAAATTAATCTAGTGACAGTAAGGCGTTTATAATATTACAAAATTTATATTTCAAATAAATGCTGTTTTGAACTTGTTCATCAACAAAGTTTCCACAAAAATGTTATGCAGCACAACTGTTTTCAATATTGATAGCGATAAGAAACTTGAGCATCAAATCAGCATATTCGAATAATTTGAACCTAAAACTTTTGTATGCTAGTGTATCTATAGAACCATTTGAGTCCTCTTGAGTTTCTGTGGGTGCAGATTCCATGCAAGACAAGTCATTATTTACCTGCTAATATTTATGAAAAATTAAGCTGACATGCAGTTTCTCCTCTCACTTTCCTCAATGAAAGGATGTTACTGAGGAGAAATACGTCATCACTCCATCGATCCAAGATGCTGCTATTATCGTTACTAGCCCAAAGGAGCCAATTCTGAAACTGAGTATCCATCTGACCTCACCTGTGGTCAGGGAGCAGGTTAAAAAAGAGGCATCTGGAGGTATGATCTCACTCTTTTTCTTTTTCGGACCTAAAAGACCTTCAGTACATCGGAGGAGAGAAAATAAAAAGTTATGCAGTACAGTCCTGCTGCATCAAATGAGTGGTGGTTCCTTCTGAGGCAGATACTGGGTGCTTTCAGCATTTTAAATGTTAAAAGTATTGTTTTTGCTATTGTTCAGCATTTTACTGTTCAACATTGACATTTCCGAACGTCACCTCTAAAGCGATGCGAAGGGTTTGCATTGCAGCAAAAATGGAATCAGTAGGCTCATATTTTAAGATGT